GAGGAGGCTTTCACACAGCAGACAGGACGGCAATGCCTGTCATGCGCCAACATACACCCAAGTAAAACGAGGAAAAATCAAAGGGTTCTAAGTCACTGCAAGGCTCTGTAGGCAAAACTGGATGCCACAGGAGCTCTCTGCAGGTCCAAAAATTCTCTGCAGCTCAAACCTTTGCGATCCAAAATCCAAAAAAGTCCAATTCCAAACAGGCAAGACGGCACACCCTGCGTTCGCCAAACTGAGCCGCTGCAAGCCTACAGGGTGAACAATCACATGCCAGCGCCGGCGCCGGGTTTTAATCCAGCATCTCACAAATAACCTCAAACTTCTGCAGGCAAGACTGGATATCAGAAAAAAGTAAGGCGTCAGGGTGTCTAGATTCGTTTGGAATCCAAGTGGAAGCCCGGCCCTAAGGGTCAAGGTCAAAGAAGTTTCCCAGAGCCTCGGCACGCGCAGCGCGGTTTGAGGAGGAGTAGTACACTGGACAAAGCAAGCCCCGGACGTTTGTGCGCTGCTGGGACGTCATCCGAGAGCACCATGGCATCAAACGGAAATTATCAACATGACTGTACAGAAAGCCTTGGAGAGGGTCCATTTGTGGCTTGACCGACAATTAATGTCCACCTGTCCACGTGCGCGCCCAACCTACTAATGTACTCGGATCGCAGTTTTCCACAATCATGGTTCCGGTTTGAAGCCTACCAAAGGCAAAGGTCATCGCGAGCGAAGCATGCTGCAGAGCTCCATGCCAAAAACATGCGCAAGTCATCCCGGTACGAAATGTCCAGCGCTAGAAAATTGGCACCGCGCAAGTGTGTCAGCTTGCGCCGTGACCCTGGAAACGAAACGCAATTTGACAAATTGGCTGCGGACATTGCTGGGCCCTCCGGGCATGGCAAATGCCGGAAACAATCTTTCATGTCACCAGCTGCAGTTAACCCTACGTCGAAATGCATTGTCGCAGAGCGGTTGTTGAAATCAAGAACGTCGCCAGCTGAAAGAAGTCGCTAACTATGTGCGCTGGACAAGCGTCCAGCAACACGTCAATAGCCCTGGAAACCAAAGAGTGCAACGCGCAGCAAGGTGTAGCGTGCTTGTTGATACTTCCACTTCGGGAGCACCGACAAAGCACTGATCTGCCAAACAGACGTGGGAGCAGTAGAAAGGGTATTGGGCTGCAGATGGTCCTCCAAGCCCGGAACACAAGCCATACTACTTAGGGCAGAACAAATGGCACGCTCGTCTGCTGGCAACCGAACAATGTTAGGCACAGAAGTGGCAGCAGGAAAGTCCAACAGCTGACAAGCAAATCCAAAGGTCAGCTTTGGGCACAAAATAGCCAGACAAGAAAGGTTGTGGTCAAAAACACTCACAAACAAGTTGCCAAGCCACGCCCTTGCCGCAGCAACGTCATCCCATGAAAACGGGGAAGCGAAACGCGGCGCGGACGAGGCTAAAACCCACAACTGGCCATACAATCATTCATGGCAGCTTCAGTTGCTGCATCCTCACGCGGGGCACGGCAACGCTGCCGGAGATTACGAAAATTCTGTCGCACAGCCGCTGCCACATCTTTCCATCAAGGTAGCAGGCAAACGCTTGCAGGCCATCTGGCAAAAGACTGCAGCTCTTCAGGCCAAGGAGCAGCCGAAGTTTTGGGGCCCATTGACGCAGTCCCTCCATGAGCGCAGGAGCTTTTGCGCCCGCACGCTTCCAATCCACGGGATGGAAAATTTGATGCGCGAGACGGGAAAGCACAAGTCCCGGCGCTGGCGACAGACACGCCGTAAAATGGCCAGGCTGCGCCGTCTTCGCCATCCCTCTTCAAATTTGTCTATACGATAAGCGACATATGTCCAGGCTCCACAACTCAAGTTGCAAGCTGCCACGGTGACCTGTAAACCGTTTTTCCACTGGGATCTTCGCACAATGTTTGGCGCGAGATGAGGGGTCCGCTTTTCAACTCGCGCTCGCAAAGGCGGCAAAGTTGACGAGACTTGCCAAAAATGCGAACCCCAGACTGTGTGGCCGCCCTTCGCCCGGCTGTATTTGCCATAAAGCTGTGCACATGTGGCGGGTGCAAGGTTTTTAAAGCATTGATCAGGACTTTTTCGGCAACAAGCCGCTCCTGCCGGCTTGCTTCAGCAGTCCGGACGGGCAACCCAAAAAAAAGGCGGCCAGAAAATCACTCGTAGAATGACAGCCTTGCCGCACACAAGAGTAAAAAGGCTGTTGGGTGCATCCGTCTTCGTCGGACAAATGCTCATGGAAACGCAGCTCAAAGCAAGCGGTCTCACCGACATATATGACCAAACCGTGGAAGACTAAGTTTAAGGCGCGGCCCAAAGCCGATCCCACCCAGTTTCCCAAGGGTCATGGCCAACCCGCCGCAGCAGCATCAGACTCCGCCTTGTTCTCAGAAGAATGCATGTGTCGTGCCATTTGGATGGCAAGTTGAAAGTGCAGAATCTCAGCAAAAGTAGAACATCCAGCGCGGCCCGAAGGGCCTCAGCGAGATCCAAGCAAGGCAACACTCACAGGGGCTTCTTCATGATCTCAGAAGCCCGAAGCCTTGCGAGGAGCTCTCACCCTTCTTGTTCGTCTTCCGCGCAAACTCCAGCAAGCTCATGTCCTCGCGGCGCCAAGCGCTCTCCTGGTAGAGCTGAACGATCTTCGGTCGGGCCAGGGCGCCCGCAGCTCCTCCATAGTTCCGCTGTAGCGACAGGGCGGGAAACTCTTGGCCGCAAGATACAGCCACATCTCCGGCTCGCAAGGCTTGTAATCGAAAAGCACCCCGGGCTACAGAGAACGCCGAGGCCTCGTCTGCCAGCCACTCCTTTTGAAAGGCGTCGGAGAACAGCGGGCCGCGGTCGTTGCCGAGGAGCGCGTCCTGGTGGCACTTGGCGATCTCCAAGTCCTCCTCAACGGGTTGGTTGGCGAGGCAAGGGCGAGCTGCTGCAGCCCTTGAGGCTGGAAGAGCTGCGACTAGCAGTGGCATCGGCTACCGGCGCAGTGGAAGGGGCACCAACCAACTCAGCAACGGGGCATGCGTACGCACTTGAACCCATCTTCTTGATAGAAGGAGGCGGCGGCTGGGGAGGCAAGGGCGCTCTCGCCAGATGTCATTCAGCTTTCTGCGCAGCGACATCCGGTCTTCCTTGTCAGTAATGTTTCATCAACGACTACCGGGGCCTGGTAAGAGCTGGTTGAAGAATGCCACACCCTGCTGCTGCACAATTTGAGCCACCTTGTGGCAAGTGGGTGCGCGCATTGAAGTTGCCAGGTGGAACAGGCTGGGCGAAGACAGGGCCGGACTGCCTTGACTCCCAGCTGCCAGGGGGTGAGGCTCGCGTAGGGGACGCGCAAGTCGGGGGCTGCGGCAAGCCAAACAGCGTGGTGATATTTGGAGGGTGGAAGGCTTTGCGGCCTCATCCAAACACCTGCATTGCTTGCTGCGGAGCGGACAAAGCCAAGCCACTTGCAGCGTAACCAGGGGCAGTACTTTGGCACTGGACTGGAACCCAATGCCCTGGAGGGCATCAAGGCGCTGCCTACTGTCAGCCATGGCACGGGAATTCTCCGGAAAAATCAGGGTCGTTTTCTTGGGCCACTTCTTTCCAAAAGCGGTATTTCGAGCAAATGTCCTCCAAGTGTCACGTGCCGCAGGCAAGTAAGCGTGCAAACGCCCCATAACACGAGCTTTGCATGCCTAACTTGCTAATGCTGGAACCAGCGTACGCAATGCCCATACCATCAGGTAAGGGACACCGCAGTATGAAGCAGGTAGGCGCAACTTCCAAGCAGCTGACAGCGCGGCGAACGGAAACAAACCCCAAGAAAAGGACCAACCGCCCACCACCAAAGTCGGCGCGGCCAGGGACAACAAGCCCCGAGGAAAACCACCAACCGCGACGAAAAGGACGGCGCGGCAATAAACCCCAAGAAAAGGTCGGCGAGGCGAGGGGCAAAAGTCCCAGCAAAAGGACCAGCCACACCCACGACGAGAAAGACCAACCGCCGACCACACGTGCGCAGGAACAGAGTCGGCCCTAGACTCTGCAAGTGAGCCAAAGTAAACACATGCGTGCGCGCCAGCAAACACAACCCACAAAAACAGCAAATATTCTGCGAAAAGAAGGTACTGTGTCAGCGTGCTGACGCAAGCAGCAACGACATAAACATCCAAATGAAACAAAACCGTGCTCGCATGTGCATATCAAGGTACACGCGCCCTTCACACACATACCCACATACGTTGCAATACGTTTCATTTCATTAAATTTCACTAGATGGCATCACATTACATCACGTCACATCACACAACCGCAACTCTATCCATCCATCCATCCATCCATCCATCCATCCATCCATCCATACATAGTTACACAGTGTGCACCCACACCTTCCTTTCCATTGCATCATGTTACATTATATGACATTGCATTGCTCCACATGGATTTGGCCAATGGCCCTGGCCCAATTTCAAGATTCATACTCCCATTGTCACAGCAGAATGTCTGGACTCCAATCCACGGCTGTGTGCCTGTGTGCCTTGTCACCTGTGCGACCTGTCACGGGTAGGCAGTCCGGGCAGCCATTCTTGGAGGGGCCCTCTCACCACCACCACCACCACCACCAACCAACTGGACTCCAGTTTCCTGGACACCTGCTGTGAGGCTTGTATACTGTGTATATGCTTTTGTTGGTGTGGCATAAAGGGAAGCCAAAAGGAACACCACCTTTTGTTGGTTCCAGCTTCCTCGCAAACTCATGCACCTGTGGATGAATCCATTCCCACCAATTTGGTGCGTCGATCGGCGTGGATTTTGTCAGTCCAGTGCCTTCCCCTCGAATCGTAGTCACGCAGCGAAAAGAGTCGGTCCAACAAGGCTCAGATCCCGTTGGGTGGTTTTCCTGTTGGTTTTCTCACAACAAACACCAAAAGCCAACAGCGTACCAACTCCAAAAAAGCGGTTGAAACCACGGGTCGACCGCGCCAGGCCGATTTCCTTTGACCCGGATGATGCGGGCCCAGGCCTTGCATTGGGTGGGTGGGGAGGGGCAGTCGGGGGAGGGGGGATTTTCTTTTGAGACGGGTACGAAAATAGATGTGTTCTTCCCAACAGCTGAAAGCTATGGATGTGGTCGATGGGCTAGGTAGGCTTCTTCGGCAGCTTTCAGGAAGAGTTCCGGAAAGTTCCAAAAAGAGTTTCGGGGTACTTGGGGAACCCCTTGGGTCACTTTTTTCTGGTTTCAGCGGTTTCGACTTTCATATGCGAATGGAACCCATTGCTGATTGCCATTTCCGAACTGCATTTAGGAGGGAGTCAGCCTTTGACCCGCGCGAGAAAGGTGATTGCTTTCTTTACTCCCGCACACCGACACATGGCTTTTGCTCTGAAAGGGCATATTGTGGCATATTCTCTGCAGAAATCTGTGAGTTGGCAATTCCAGGGATAGTTTTGAGGGTGTAGTTTGGTGTGGCCTTGAGCTTAGCTTGTGGTTTCGACACCACGTGGCATTCGGGGACGTGCGTGTTTGGCTTGTGGTTAGCCAAACGAACAAATGCACCGAGGTCTGTTTCTTGGATGGGAATTCCGTTGAACGCTTGACCATCATGAGTGCGATCAGATTGAGCCGCTTTGCTTCATCAAGAGATATTGGCCTAGTGGCAACGGACAGGTGCTTTCAGGTGACGTGATTGATGTTTCTGTCTTTACGGCAATTTTTGCCCTGTCCGAGGGTCGACTTTTTTTCTTCTCAACAATCCGTTTTGCTGAGATCTGGATCACGGCTTAGGGCCGAGCGAACAAGTTGGACGGTGCAGGTGCAGGGAGTTCACGCGAATGGCAAGTATGTGGTGCGCTATGAGAGGGGGCACGGGCGCCGAGGATTTTTTTCCGGGCGGCATCACAGCTGTGGGTTCAGGGCAACCGCTCAGCGTGTTTTCAACATGGTACACCACCTGTCCTCTAATAAATGATTGGCGCACTCCTGATTCGAACGCCTGGCTGCCCTGTACTCATTGCAGTTTTTAACCTCAGGGTGCATGTATTAATGACATGTTTATTTATAATATGGGGAGGGGCTGTCCAAATTCTTATAGGGAGGGCCCATGGTTTCCCATGTATAACCAGGCGAGCCTGCCTCATGATTTCCAGGGATTTAGCATGGGGCCCAAGTTTTTGCACTCAGGAACTTGTCAAGGGAGTCCGTCTCACTTTCACGCTTTCCAAAATCAGGGGACCCCAAATGGATTCCAATGCAAAGAGTCATGTGTGTAGCATCCGAAAGGAAGCCATTTGGCCCTGCATTTCAATAGGGAACCACCCAAAAGTGTTGGGCGGATGTGAATCTCCACCTAAATGATCTCCACCAAAGGGTCCGGGCGGCATTGAAATTCACGCCCACCAGCACCCTCCAAGGGTGATCCAATTGAGCCTTTTTTTTCCCCCTCAGATGGATTTTAGCTTCGTGGTCGCCCGCTTCGACTCACGCCCAGGGGCGAGTGGGGCGACACGGAGCGGCAGGTTTGCCCGAGCCGAGCGCCTCGGCACTTGGCTCGGCACGGGCTGTGGTGTTTGTTTTGTGGACGGCGCCTTGGGAGCACCAATCAAATGTTTTGGGCCCCGAAGAAGGCAGACCCATTTTATCTTGAACCAATTGAACCAATGGAAATCCTTGAACACCAAAAGGAAAAGGTCTGGTGACCTACTCTGGTAGCTGAAAATCCATGCCTTTTTGAGGCAACACAGCGCAACACCGTTTTGTTTTTTTGGGCGAGGGGCTTGGGATTGGTTCAAGAAAAAAGGTCGCGGAAAGACCAAAACAACCCGGGGCCTCTATTTTCAGTCATCCATGTGGACCAGAAAAGAAGTGTGTGTGTGTGTGTGTGTGTGTGTGTGTGTGTGTGTGTGTGTGTGTGTGTGTGTGTGTGTGTGTGTGTGTGTGTGTGTGTGTGTGTGTTTGTGTCCAGACGGGTTGTATTTTCGGGTCCGAGCAAGTGTCCAGCGCTTCTTTTCTGTCAGGTCCGGGCTTTGGAGAAGCTGAACGGTGATCCTTCCAAGGCAACAGCTGAAAGCTGATTGTCCTTGAGCTCGAGCGCTCGGTTGGGCGCCTCGCCTTATGGAGCTTCAGCTGCTTCTGCCTGAGGCTTTTCCCGCTTCCCCAGGCGCGAAGTTGAGATTCGGCACGGAGACACCGGAATGGCCGCGTGCGCCATTTCAAGGGTCGAGAGCGGAGTGAAGCCATTTCCGGAGGCCTTCTGTGACCTTCCAGGTTCGCCTGAGGGAGTGTACCTGGCTTTGTTTGTTGGGGGGGAAGCTTGAAACTAAAGGCTAAACCACAAAGATTTTTATTTTTTTTTGGGGGGGAGGCCAAAGAAACACACACCCAAGTGTTTTTCTAACTATTTTTTGGTCGTGAGCATTGCGTTTGAGGTTGGCCAACCGACCAATTCTCCAGAGAGTTCGCCCCACAAGTCCGCAAGTACCACCGTCTTGCCCTGGCGAAGCGCAGAAGCTGGTCGGTGGTTCAATTTCGGAGCGCCTGGGGGATAAAGGAGCGGCTTTGGGCTTGCTGGGTTCTCCGAACTGTTTGGGATCCCCTTGTTTGCTTTTTCCCCGTGTGCTTGGCCTGCTCATTGATGGGGGACGGGCTCTTCGGGCGCCAAAATGGCTGAAAACCCCCAAAGGACCATGGGAGTCACAATCAAAGCGAGGGACAAACCTAACCAGAGATTGCAGGAGGGTGTCTCGAAATCGGGGATCGCGACGATTTGTTTTTTTCCCCTTTAGTGTTCCGCTGAAACGACCCAAAAGGGTACAAAACAATCAAACAACAACTCAAGAACATAAGTTGTGGTTTTCTTGGTTTCCCTTTGGCACCCGCAAACCAGGGGGGGTACCCTGCAAGACACGCCCACCGTGTTTTTGAGTACACCTTCCCTTGGACCCATGGCCACTCCAGTTTTTCAACCCGTAGCACCGCGTGGGGACTGTTTTGTTCTTGAAAAAATGATTTGTTGCACCCAATTGCCAGTTTATTTCCCTTCTTTACTGTTTGTTTTTGGTTGTCTCATGTGAGGCTTGTTAGTTTGCGAGTACTGCGCTGAATATACCCCCCGCCCCCCGCCGCTATGAGGGGGGTGGTTCCCCTTTTTGGTTTGGATTCCTTTCTTCCAGGGAGACCGGGGGTTTATCAATGAGGGGTCAACATTACTCTCAAATCACCCTTGGTTCAAAGGGAAGGCAGAGGGAACAACGACCCATTGGGGGCTGCGTCCATATCCGTAGCCATTCTCGGCTAGGCCGTGGACTATAGCTTTCGCCTGGAGGAGTTTGCAGAGGACCTCGTTCTTCCCTTTTCGATGGGACGAGGGTGGATCCGAAAGACCCGAAAGGTAGCCATCCCGTTGCGAAGGAATAGCTACCCTCCCACCAACTAACACATGGAACTGTTCGACGTTCGGGGGTTCCGGTCCCTTGAAAAGGAAAATGGTCCAAACCAGGACCGATTCCCCAAACGTCGAACGGTTCCATGTGATAGTTGGTGGGAGGGTACATGGAGTAGAAAGGACATGGAGTATCCACCGAGGGCCTTAAAAGGAAACTTGTTTTTCAGGCCAAAGGCCAGCTTCCCTTTTTTGTTTGGTGGGGCCCAAATCTCCACCATTTCTCTGGTGCCCGCAACACAAGCGAATGCACGAAAGGTGAATTGGTGGGGCAAAAACCCACATCTCCTTCGCAACACAAGCGAATGCACGAAAGGACATGGAGTACCTGGTGGCACCCCACATCATCAAGGCTTATCTCGAGGGCGACTCCGAGGCGCGCGAGAGATCGCGGTGTTTTCGGCCGAAGAAGTGAAGATTTGTCGCGTGGGTCAGTAGTGTTTTTTTGGACGCTGTTTTTGGGTGATATGAAGGGAAGCCAGAGAGGAATAGATACATCTATATATATATATATGTATTTATGTATGTATACATATATATATATATATATGTCAACCAACAACACTGAGTTGTTCATCGGCGATTGTCGTGTGTGCAAGATTGACAATTAATTCCCACAGCACTCGGGTCATTTCAAGGGTTGCCTCCAGGTTTGGCCGACGACCCGATGACCCGATGACCATTTTGTGGTGCCGTGGGTGGCCGGTTGGTAGGCTCTGAAGAAGCATTGCGGGGATTCCTGCTTCAACGCGGTGAACGCCGGCATCAAGGCGGGGCAACTTGGATTGCCGAAGCTGTGAAAAGTAGCGGCCTCCAACTTAAGGAGTTAGGGGGGGAAACCGGAGGTTTTAGTCTTGGGTTCCATTTTTGTAAGGAGCCATTTTGGGTTCCGTTTTTGTTTGTTTGAGCCACAGCCAGATTTCCAGATCCAAAGACTTCAACCAACCAGTGCTAACACTCTGGGGGTAACTTCTCCATTCTTTCCAGGGATCCTTCTTTGCAGAAGCCGTCAAAAACACATGGACCACGGCTGGTTCCTGAATCCATGGTTGAACAGAATGGGGAATGAACCCCTAGAAACACCGCTTGAAGCAAATTCAAACCACTGATTGAGCATCGGTTCGGTTTGCCTTAAAGGCTTCGGTGCTGAAAAGCGCTCCTTTAGCCGGACTTCGCCCTGAGGGCTCACTGCTTACATCTTCAAAAGTGCCCTCCAAACATCGATCTTGCAAAAGGAACATTTTGAGCAGACCTCAACATGCTCACTTGGAATGGATCCGGCGAGTTCCTTTCCTGTTCTGTTTGTTCAAGCCACCGGATGGATTGCGAGAGATGGCTATGCAAATGAAGAGATGGGTCTTGGGGCCACTCGGGACAAACACCGGGAATACCTTGAGACAGATTCACGCCGAAAAAGCCACGGGAAGCCCAAGCGCGGGTTTTCCTTGATGGGGAGAGCCCTCCCGCGCCAGACAAGACGGTGTCCACTTTCTTGTTTCCACTTTTGGGTTTCCTGCAGCCAGCCAAATGGACATGGGGTTGCTCAAAAGAAAAAACATGGCCATGCTGAGATGTTCATATTTGCCAGCTTTGGAGGGTCCAACATTTTGTGGACGCGTTTTATGGATGTAGGATCAGGGACTGTGCTTCATGATTCACATTTGGCTCCCGCAATCCTGTTTTGAACTACCCCGCAGACCCATTCCATTTTTTAAAGCAGCTAGCGGGGGGCCAATCAAAAGAATTAAGGAATGCTCCTCTTCCCCTGCTTTGAACAACTGGCGGCTCGTTTCAGGGCCGGTTTTCTGCGAGAGAGAAGAACAACACAACACCGAAAGCACGGTCTTTTCCGCGTGGGTTGGGGGGCGCCTTTGTTTTTAAACTCCCCGCCAGCGCCTTTTTTTGTTTTACTTCCTTTTTCTTTGTTTTTCTTCGTTTTCCGTTTTTCTTTCTTTTTCTCCGTGAGGAGCGGGTGAAGCAGAAGCTGACGCTGGACACCGCCATCCTGGCGGGGCCGCGGGAGGTGGAGCTCAAGGGAGCCAAGCTCTCGGAGCAGGCGAGCGCCAGCCGCCGACGGGCGCTCGCCGCTCGCGGGCGGGTGGGATGGGTTGGTGGGGTGGGCAGGGTCGATTTGGAGAATGGGCTTGCTTTTTCCTTCTTTGTTTTTTAAGGGACCCAGGTCAGAATGCGAGAGGGGTGCCTTCAAGAGAAGACAAGGCTTCTGTTTGAGTTGTTGTTTTCTTGGTGTGCCTGCACAACCACGCGCTCACGAAGGAACATCACAGGTTCGGGTTTGAAAGATGTCCGAAGGTGGGGAAGTTGACTCAGCAAGTTGAACGGGATGGTAAAGCGAGGGATTTAGACCCGTTGTTTGTGGTCCTTTTCTACTGTGGATGTTTACGAAATCCTTTGGGCACCGTTCAGAAACCCTGGCTTCTGATTCGATCCCCCAACGCAAATATAACCATGGCTTCCCTTTTCGAACCATGGCTTCATTCGTGCGAAAAGGGATCTAATCCTCCCTCGACGGTGTTTCATCATGAGACCTTCCCCTTCACGACCGTGAAGCCTTACTGCGGATTCCCCGAATTGGCTTGGAATATTCATGTAAAAACAGTGGAACACACTCCAAGCAGCTGGTGGACAGATTCCCATGCCCAAGTGAACCATTGAGGAGGTACAATCCAAAAGGAGGTCCGCGATCCATTTTGACAAACCCCCAGTTGCAAACCCCTCACAGGAAGAAGCTTTCAAAAGTTCAACGCGGAAGGGGGGACTTCTCAACAAAGCTCCTGGTGAGTCCAAAGGCCGTGGAACTGAAAAAAAGGGCCAGGGATTGGTTTGCAACTCGGGGGACTTGATCAAAATATCTATAATCGCGGTGGAAAATCACTGCAAAGGACAAGTCGCCTTGAGTAAGGCAAACGGATATTGCGGATTGCCTTTGAATAGCAGTGCATTAGATCGTGATCTACCTGCAGTGATGGTCGACACGACACACAACATCTACCTGGGTGAAACACAATGCCAGCATGCGAACTCATCAACCAGATAGTATTAGAGTAATTTGAGTGTGAGACGTGTGTGTGTGTGTGTGTGCTGATGGCTGATGGGATGGATGCATGCGTTTGCCTGTATATGCATAGTCGCGGTCTCTGCATATTGTGCGTCTATTGGGCTAAAGCGTTAACCGCAGGTGGTCGCTTGTCTTGACTCTTCATAAGTGTCCACTTGGGCCACCATTTTGGCTCAAGTGGACTCTGACCTTCTGTCTTGTAATCTGAAATCTTTCTTTCCCCTCCTATTAAAGCCATGTACGCCCCCGCCTACGCTGGTGCCGCGGTTGCAGAGGCCAAGGCGAAGGCAAAGGCCTCCATGGCGAAGTACCTGGCAAGCCTCGTGAAGAAGGAGGAAGAAGGATGGACCGTCTTGGCTGCTGAGGTCCCTCAGGCACCTGACGAGCGGTTCTTCTCCAGCGCCGATGAGCTGGAGCAGGCCCCACTCATCCCAGCCAAGCGCAAGGCAGAGGACGAGCTGATGGCAGACTCAGCCCCTGGGGTGGCGCAGGTGCCGAAGGCCCTGACACGCCCCCCAGGGGCGTTCCTGGAGCTCCTAAACCCGCCGGAGAAGGATGTTCCCATGGAGGAACTCCTGGCGGAAGACGAGGAGGAGCTCCCGATGTCCGACACCAAGTGGCAGAGACGCCGTGATCTGATGGCGAAGGTCAGGGAGCAGGCGTCCTCGGAGGAGGATGAGGACCCCGCAGCCCCCCCGCCAAAAGGAAGCGTCTTCACCAAGGCCCTCAAAGTCTCTGAGGGCCTTTACCAATTCAGCGAGGACCAGATGGCGGGCGACTTCCCGTGTTTTGATGC